AAACCATTATACCCTGATTTCCCATTTTCAATGGGTTCAGGGTATAAAAATCATTTTGTGGGCGAAGCGCAAAAATAATATTTGTTTACTTACATATTCTATTATGTATGTATGTATGTATGTATGTGTGTGTGTGTGTTTGTGTGTGTCTTTGCTTGTGCTTAAAGTTGATTTAGTGATATTGCCTGTTGGGCTTGCTTCCTTTTCTTTTCATTCTTTGGCTTTGCTTTGCGACTCGTTTTTCTAGCTTTTCTCTCTGTCTAGAATTCTAGCGGCGTTCCCTCCTCCTCCTCCTCCTCCCCCAACCACACTGGACTCAGACCCTTGACGATGCGCTGAACGTGGGAATCCAGCAGCGAGTTCAACTGTAGTTCAGCACTGTGCGGCTCAGCTACCCCCAGTCCCCAGTCCCCAATCCCCACCCCCCACTCCACAGCACTGTTCAGATCGTAAATAACAATTCGTTGGTCCCACAAGATTAATCGCTATTGACATTCAACTTGGGCCATTTAGATACCTATTTATATATATATTGTACGGCCTGAGAACTAGTCGATATTATATAGACAATAATATATATACATATTCGCTGCAATTGCAGTTATTTATTTATTCAAGCGATCGTTTGCCTTTCTCAATTGCTTGGGAGATCTCGTTTGGTTATTTCAAAAGAAAATAAATAAATAAATAAAATTAAAATTCTTATTATCTTTGGGGTGGCTTCGCTGTTGTTTTTGGCATTAACGCGCATTTGAGGCCCGCAGCTTAGCATCGCCTGCTAAATGTACGTAAATTGCAAGTTAATGAGCTCAAGTGGTCCAGCGACAAGTCGAGGGAAGCGGGGCGCAGGAGGCGCTGCGCTGTGCCGGCTCTGCTGGCTGGGATCGCCCCCTAAGACAAATAAATATAAATTCAAATCAAACGAAAAATTGTGTGCGCTCGCCCGCATCGCATTGTGGCTGCCAGCGAGGGTGGGCCGGTCGGCCGGTCGGTGGGTGGGCGGTCCGTCTGTCGGTGGGTCAGACACAAAGAGCCAAACCGTATCCCGATGTCCAGACCCCGACCCAAGCCCATGCCCATGGCCATCAATTAAACTGTCAGCCAGAGCCCATTACGCGCTCATCAGCGCACTTGGCCCTAAGATAGGGAGCGAGAGAGAATCAGGGATGAAGCCCGCTCGGAGTGTGAGCCGCGCACATTAACTACTGCGTTCGCAGTTCAATTAACTAGCAGTTACAGTTACAGTTACACTCACTGCTGCAGTTGCAGTTGCTAACTGTTAACCAACTGACCCCTGAGCGCGGTCATTCCTGCTCCTCTGTCCCCCTCCTTCCGCTGTCCAGTTCAAGTGTCAAAATATAGCGCTAACACGATATGCCATAAACAGCTAAACTGTACTTTGTCTTCCAATTAACAGCTTGAGCTCGTTTACCCGCTGCCTCTCTGGCTCTTGATAGAACTGGAGCTCATAACGAGATCTCTAAATATTACATCTATATAGCATCTATAGTATATTTATACATACACCCAAGCACTCGAATGTTATTAACAACAACACGGGCCAATAGAGCTTATTTAGTAAACAAGGCGAAGGCCTTTGAGCTGCTGATTTCAAATCTGAAAATCGTTTAGCTCTAATTGACATTATCTAACATATTTACATCGCTATGAAGAACCATAATTTTGGATACATATAAGACAGATATAATGCTCTTTCATATGGCCATAATTATTTATATTGATTTTGTACAATATTCGTCTATTGAAGCTGAAGACTTGGTATTTACCTAGACAAGACGAATAATACTTGATCGAGTTTTACAGAAATAGAGCACCCACATTTACAGCAGAGTTGCTGTCAAGATCCTTGTATGCGCACGCCCACTAGAGGCGTGGTAAGTCGGATTATAATATATCTAGTATAATAGAAACGGTATTATTTTAGGTGCACGTGATTATCAACACGGACTGAAACTATATACATATATATACATACATATGTGTATGTATATACAGCTGTGTTCGCTAAAATAGCAGTGCAGTAGATGCTAACAGAGATTGCAAAAAATTTGTATATTAATTTATTTTTTTATATATAATTTCTTTGTTCTTTGACTTTGCTTTTGCGCAATGGAATTTAGACATAGGAATGTGTATGTTTATATACAAGATTAAGTAATTATAACATGAGTTATTGTTCTTGTTCTTATAGTCAAGATCCTTTTACATAGGGCCGTGGTAAGTCGCCTAAGACTGCAATCTTAGGGAACTAGAACACCTATATAGAGATCGATTGCGTTAATTACTATTAAGATCATCATGGATCCATGTCCAATAGAGACAAATTTCCGACTATACATATATAATATTATAAATGCCTGTGGCAAGTCGTAATAAACTATATCTATATCAAAATGTTTAATTAAATCTTCAAAATCCTCTACTAATTCCCTCTACACATTTTGAAAAAAATGACTTTTTTAATTTTATTCTCATGAATATTCAAAGCTTGAGCCGCATTAAATAATTATAAAAGTCAATAAACAGATCAAAAACAACAACAACAAAAAGGTCGCTCGAGGTGCTAAGTCTGAAATTAGTAAATTGTGTTATTAAGATATTCCTAAATGTTTCAGTCAAACAACTGAATGATACGAATGAAATTCAATTTTTATTCGCTTTCGATTATTCATTAAAAGAGGCTTTGAAAATATTGTTTATATATTTTCAATTGACTTCAAGGCAAATGAGTATAAATAAAGTTGATGAGTTCATAAATTATGCAAATAAATGAGATTGGAGATTTCGGATTTCAGATTCGCGTCCCTCAATTGTCAACTGGCACAATGAGCTAGCATACGACGAGATCAAGATTAAAGGATTATCTAGAAAGAGAATTCAAACTTTCGTTGGGCAGTGGGCGGGGCTGGGGTACGCACATTAACAGCAGCTAGCACGGTTTACATTTGTAATTAACTTGAAATTTATAAAAATAAAAAGTAACGGGAGTGTGGGGGGAGGGGGGCAGAGAGATGGAGAGGGTTATACATATAGTCTAAATGCATTTCTACACGCAAATGAAATCGAAACCGAAAATCGGGTTAAAACAAAACATTACAAATGCAATGCGACGGGCCGTGACGTGCAATGGGGACGCCGCATGTGGGTTGGGCTGGCATGTGGGGTGGGGCGGGTGGAGCAGTCATTGGTTTCGTTTGAGGAATGAGGTTCCAGCATGTGAGATGTGGTGCCATGAAAATTGAAAATTGAAAATTGTCAAAAAAAAAAAGAAGAAGACTACGACGACAAACAACAAATTAATCAATGTAACTGCAACTGCAACTGAGGCAACGGCGACTGCAGCAGCAGCCGCAGCAGCAGCAGCAGCTAGGTAAACTGCGTGCTGCAAATTGAATTTTGGTGGGTGGGGTGGGTTGGGCGGTGTGGTGTGGTGTGGGGTGACTTGATGCAGTTATCTACGCACCGTTTCAATTTAATTTGCTGTGCAGTTATCTAGTGCTTCCACTGCTCCTCGCTCTCCTACTCCAACTCCATCTCCCCCTCTCCCTCTCTCTCTCCCTCTCTCTCTCTCTGTTGCGTGCGTGTGGCCCCAAGACTTTCGTTTTCATCTTAGTTGTTGTTTTAGTTAAAATCATTAAATCTTCTGCTTGTTGTGCTGCATGTCTCTCTACCTCTACCTCTACCTCCCTCCCTGCCCTCGCTCACTGTTCATGCCGAATGTTTCTATAGTTGTGTTTTGTTTTATTGTTTGCAGTTGCAGCCAGCGCTGTTAGCAGCTGGTAAATGGGCACAGTTATGATGTTAGTTCAGCAAGTTGGCGATTCGCTTTCACTGTCTGCCGCAGCCCCGGTCCGAGCGCGCATCTAATGTGTGTTACCTCTCAGTGTATATACCCTGTAGACGCATGGAAAGTGCGTGGAAAGTGTCTAGAAACTATTTGAAAGAGACCCAACTCGAGTCGATTCTCAATCATTAACACCCTTACGATATGAAATACATACATACATACATATATAATATACTAATCTTTTCACATATCTAATCAAGGTTATTTATGTGTTCTCTCTCAACCTTAATTCATTATCCACCTTATAATCACTATTTTCATTTTTACTTTACACACATACATACATACATATATTCATATCTTAGAACCTAGGGTATTCTCTAGTCGAGAGCTTCTATTGCTTTCACTTGTATTACAGTTATTGTTGTTGTAATTGCAGTACTATGCGTGTTTAGCTGCGTATCTAATAGATATAAACAACGCGCACACATACACACACACACACACATACATACACACATGCATGTGCACGCTGGGCTAAAGTTTTCAATTTGATTTCTTCTTCTTATAATTTGGGATCTATGTCGTCAAGTGACAACAGATGACGCAACTTTCCCAAACCCGTAAAATAAAAACAACCGAACTACTTGGCTACGGTTTCTATTTATGTGCGCATGCATGTTGCCCGACGCGTCGCCTGTTGCCTTTGCTTTTTGCTGCTGCTGCTGCTGCTGCCGCTCAATTTCCATTTGGGAAATAACTCAGTTTGCTGTCAGCGTCAGGCATTTCATTCGTATTCCTATTCGTATTCGTATGTTATTTTTTTTTTCATTCTTTTTTTGTGTATGTGTGTGTGTGTGTGTGTGCTCTCCTGGCGCAGTTCCGATGTCTCACTTGAAGCACCCCGCGCCAGACCGTTGCCTAGGCCAAGGCAACGAGTGCCGAAAGGAGTTTTGTTTGAACACAAAATTCAAGCACACGCACACTCACACGCATAAACATATATACACACATACATATGTATGTGCATGTATCTATGTGACTGCATATATGCATTTGTATTAAGGCAACAAATGGTTAACATGTGTCGCAAACTTGGCGACATATGTATGTAAATATGTGTACATAGATACACCCACACACACACACACATACATATATGTATATAGCCATTTTCTCTAATTACCGAGAATCGAAACCTTTTTGGATAACGATCAAATAGAATATGAGAAATTTCAGAAGATTGCACAAAAAAAAACAAATAGATTAGGGAAAAATCTTAATTTACTATATACAGTAAATACTGGCTACAGTCAACAATTAAAAGCCTAAAATATATTCATTTATTTAGTATTTCTTGTATAATGAAATAGAAATGTAAAAATAAATATATAAATAATTTTAGAGCGTATTAATTTTGTTTATAATTTGATACACATACAAATACATTTATAATTCGTTTCGAGCTTATTCGATGCCAATTGGCATATGGGCTTTTGGAGTATCTATTTTGGTTCAGTCTCATAAACAAAGTTGGAAATATTATATGCTCAGAGTATAAATTCGGCTCGAGCCTAGCAGAAATTACATTCAGCAGAATTTGGGCGTTGTCCTGTTGGATTCCCAGAAACGAAATTACAAGCGAAATTCTTCTCCCACTAGGCATGCATAATTGTGGAAAATTTTTTTTTATTCAAATGAAAATTCACAGAATTTCGAGGAGTATTTTAAATGCCCAAAAATATATGCTTGGAATTTTCAGTGAAAGCCGTTAGCTTTAAGCCATGAAGTAAGCCACGAAAAGCAAAAATATCAATATATACAAATGTACTTATTGCAATCTTACACACACACACACACACACACAGACCTTCATATATACGTACATACATATAATTATGAATATGCAGATCGTTGAGCTGGGCTTGGTTTTGGCTTTGGTTTTTGGGTTCGGTTTGCGTTTGCGTTTGTTTTGTAGGCGCCGGAGGCCAAAATTGTAACCGCACTTGATACGTCTTCGAATTTGAATCCGAATGCTCTGAAAGGGTTGAGGGCCAGGGTCTGGGTATGGGTCTTGGTCTCTTCTTGGTATTGCCAACTGTGGCCCGGGGCCGCGTTTCGTGCTGCTGCTACGGTTGCCTTGCAAAGGCCGCGCCAAGCCGGAGGCTAGCGGCAGCTTAAAAAGTTAACTTCGAATTGCAGTTTGATATGCAGGGAACACACACACAGACGCACACACACACACACACACACACACTTGTGCACATTTCAATTAGGTATACAAGAGGTATATTTGGTTTTGCTGACGCCCACTACTAGTGAGCAAGAAGAAAGATATCTGTATGGAATAATTTGTTTTTTTTTTAGTAGAGTTTCGAGTTTACATGATGGGTTACAGAGTATTACGCAGTCGGGCAATTGTCAATTGGGAACTTTCTGACGTGCTTTTATTATCGCCAATTGCTCCTTAATTTCACATTCCACTCCGCCTGCCCCGACTCCAAACTCTTTTGGCTTGCGCCTTTTGAGTTTTGGGGCTCTCGTTACCGTTCCCTTTCCCTTTCCCGTTCTCATGCGCAAGTACAAATAGTTCCAGGAACCGCAAAGGCAAGCCGACAAGAATTGAAATGCAACAACTGCGTGTTGAATTTGGTGTATGTAAATGTGCCGTACGCTTTGAATGCGGGACACCTCGAGCAGCACCAAAACAAACGAAACAAAAATGCATAGCGTGCGGCAATTAAAAATGCGCGGAATGAACGGAATGAAAGACCGCATACCAACACACACACACACACACACACACACACACACACACACACACATACGAAACACAAAAGAAAATCGGGATAAGCGGAGTGGATTGATCAAGACAGATTTTGGGATGTCAACAGAAATGGAAATGCATTTATCACTTCTGACAGCTCCAGTTCCAGTTCCAATTTCAATTCCAGTTTCACTATTCCACTGTTTGACTATTCTAAATTTCTATTTTGCATGGCATTCGGCATTGCAAAAAAAAATCACATTAATTTGCAATTGTTCTTTGTGTCGTTACCTTTTTTTACGCCTCTCTGCTCTTCTTTCTCTATCTGTTGCGATCACTCTGCTGATAATTGTGCTCAGCTTCTTCCTTTTTCTTCCTCTTCTTCTTATGTATGTTTGTGAAGGTGAAGTCACTGCACTTTTGTTTTTTTCTTTTTCTTTCTTTTTTTGCTGTTTTGCTTTTTAATATGACAGCTGCTGTTGCTGTTCTTTTGCTTTCGGTCAAATACCAATTGTTGTTGCTTCAGTTGCTTTATATGTATGTATCTTTTTTTTTTTTTTGTTAATTGCAGTCGGTCACTCCTTAGAACCCTTCTGTAAGCACCGCACAGCTTTTTGATTGAATTTCTATTTTACTTGCATTCGCTTTGGTCTGTCGTTTAGCTCATCTGCACTTGTTGCTATTGGCGCGACTGCTTCATGCTGTCGCCGGCGCTACCTTCCGGCAGGGTAAAAGCGAGCGAATTTACAAAAAAAAATGTATAAAAAAATCTCACAAACACTCAGTCGAAACACACGCGTTGTGCACTTTATGGTATTTATTTATTATTTGTCGCAAAACAAAAATAGTACAATCAATTCGTACTTGCATCAATTATTGGGCAATTGCAATAGCACTGTGAGCGAATGCATCATTGACGATTTTAATTCGAAATTTCTCACTATTATTAACGGCGAGTACACGTCCTCAGACCTCGACTTCTGAAATAAGACTGTTCTGCAACTTAACAGACGCTGTTAAGCCAGAGATACTGTAACAGACTCATGAGAGCTGTTAAATACTCAAAAGAGCTGTTAGTCTTTGCTCACTGTTAGCGCTCCAACCGACTGTTAACATAAAACTGGCGCTCTCAGAGAGCACACAACATTGCCTCAGTGCGCACTGCAATGCAAATGTAAATTCTTTCTTCTTTCATTACTTTTAGCAGAAATAATTTTTGTGCAATTCGAAGACACTTGGTTTACGAAGTGGTGCGTAGTATTTGTTTATTTTATTTTAAATTGCTATTATTTCTTTCCGCAACGTGAATTAATGGGCGATCGATTTATTTATTTGGGTAAACATGAAATTATTATTATTATATATACAGATGAGTTTTCGCCTAAACATTTTTCTTTATCTGTGTGTATATTGGAAAAAATAAATGAAGTTCTTCCATCGACCCATAAACAAAATTGAACTGGCGGTACTCTCGGGCTGCTCAAAAATCTCTGTTAACGTAGCGACTGAATCGAAATTTATGAATGAAAACAGAAAATGAAGAGCTGCCAAATTGAAGTGTGGCTTGAGAGTGAACGAGAGAGCCGATCTGAGAGTCTTGCAAATGATTCTTCGTTTGTCGATTCATGTTAATGGAAACACCCAGTAGGAATTTTACGCATGCGTTTTGCACACAGCTCATGATTGAAATGTGAGAATAAGTTAGCACGCGATAACAATGCTATAGAAGAGCAATATCAATTTCGTTTATTTGAACAGGCTTTTGTATCGAAGAATACAAGTGGCTATGGCCTCTGCACAGTGTCAGGTTGTATTAGCACTGTTTCTAGGAGAAGGAATGCTGATTTCAGTAGTTTCTGACTGTGCCTGGTGGAGAACTAACCACACATACACACACACTTCCTCCACAGAGGCTTGAGTACACATTTCACAGAATTCTGCCGAGGCCGTGACGCAAAAAATAAATAGTTTTGAGCTGTTCTCGTCGCTACGTTTTTTGCCCATTCAAATCGCAAATGGTAAATAACAATTGGGTATTGGAACTGAGGTCTTGGCCTGCAACCAGCGCCGATAAGTTGCAACGGTTCCGCTTTTTGATACTTCAGATCGGGCATCGAGATCGAGGCAACGCATGACACACCCGCATACAAGGCACACACACGCACACACACACTCATACGCACTCGGTTAGCAAGCATGAAAGAGAGTGGGAGCGAGAGTGACTGAGAGAGGGAGCGTGTGAGAGCTGGAGCGAGAGCGGCTTAGCGGAGATGGCGTTAGCTGATTGAGAACAATAGTGGCACCGGAAATTATTGCATCTGTTGTTTTGTGTTTATTTCTGCTGCATCGCCACCGCACTCCTTCAGTATCTTCTTCCAATGCAAACACACACACACTCACACACATACACTGTGTGTACTCTCAACATGCATAGATACTGTGTCTGTATGTATGTACGAACATACATGTATGTATGTATGTATGTCTGTTTATACATTACTTGTATTTTGTTTTGCGTTTGTTTTTGTTTTTGCTTTGCTGGTCCGGCCACACTTGAATTGTTTTCAGCCTCTGCCTTTAGTAGTTGTTGCTGTTGCCTTACAGTACGACAAATTCTGCTGAAATTTTCAATTGCTAGCAAAAAGAAATAAAATAAGAAATTAAAAAAAGAGAAAAAACTACCAGCCAAGCGTACTTGAACGGCAACTGGGGACGCCTGCGCAGAGGCGTTAACAGCAGCAGCGTCTACGACGACGTTTGCTTCAAGTGCAAAGTGCAATTGTGACTTTGCATCCGCCCCCACCCCCGACGCTCTTCCTGTTGCGTACATACATATACAGACAGGCACAAAACACAATGGGTAACAGTCCATATGGCTGTTAACGCTCTCGCAGCCGCGCACAGTCATTTCGCATGGTTTTTAACAGACTGCGTTCGCTGAGCGCCTAGTAAAACGGCGAATACCATGTGGACAACTCTCTCTCTCTTGCTATATACGTGTGTGTGTGTGTGTGTGTGTGTGTGCGGGAGTGTGATTGTGTGTGCTTAACATCTGCCATTTCCACATGCTGATAAGCTGATTGGAGCTGCAACAAATCGTCGCGCTTGTACGACAAAACAATGCACCTGCATTAAGGAACCTCAATGTACAAACTTACAACTTTACACTATACTAATAGATGTATTTGCTGTTAGCGAGTGCATTTGTTATTCTTCTTGGTAAACTAACCCAACGGCAGCTAAGCAGCTCTAAGTGAGAAATCAAGCGCTCGAGCACACACACACACAGCAGCTGGCGGCTGCAAACACAGTAGGCCCCTCTCACTTCTCACATCTCCCCTCTCACTCCACGACTCTCATTCATGTAATTTCGCTTTTTATTTGCCTGCGTACTCTGCTGCTGTCTGGAGGTTGCATGGGCGCCGCGCGTTGCCTAGGAAGCAACTGATTCTCAAGCATTTCTCTTGAGTTTTTCGCCTTGGTCTCTTACCTTATTTTTTTGAAAATTAAAGATAATTATGATTGCCGACAAGAACAAGAAGCAGCAGCAGCAGCAGCAACAACAAAGCCAGCGAAAAAGCGCAGACGCATCTACCTCAGTTTGCCGCACAGAAATCATTCATACCGCAAATGCGAACACAAGAAGCTGCATCTGTGTATGTGTGTGTGTGTGTGTGTGTCTGTGAGATACGCATCGTAGCAGGGGCAGCCAACAAATGATAATGATAAAAAAGTAAAATAAAGAATACCGAAACAGGTAAGAACATCCAATGCTATGTTTTATGTTTTGTATTTTGTTTTTGTATTATTTTTTTGTTATGTACAATACATACATAAATAAATTGAAAATAAGCACAAGACAAGCGAAATGCAGACAAAGGTAGCCACAAAGACAGCGAAGCAAATGGAAAGAGATAGAGCCAGAGCGAGCGAGCAGGAGAGATGGAGGGGCGGACAGGCTCTCACATGAACTGATGAACTGGCGCTGATAACAATCCAGCCAAACCGAAGCAGAACCTAAGGGCAGAGCCACAACATACATATGTATGTATGTATGCCCGCACACTCACACACACACACACACACACATACACAGACAGCACGCACACAAATTTCGGCTTGGTGAAAGAAATTAAGACAAATCAAACAGGTTTCTGCTCACTTGTCAGGCACAGCGCATCGCCAGTGCTTCAAAGACCGCCGTCTAGGCCCGCGAGAGACCAGAAGACGAGCGAGAGAGGGGAAAAAAACCCATCAAGGAAAACCCATAGAAAACCCGAAAATATCTATGGCTGGCCGACGACACAAGGAAACACATGTATTTTCATTTTATATTCATGCAGGTAGGACGACGCGTCGTGAAGATGATTTCGTAATTACAAAATTAACAAGTCACTTGGCCCCATTGAGTGAGGGTATGCACTGAAGTCGGCTTTGCCTTCCACAGTTTTCCACTCTACTCGAAAATGCGTGAAAAGCCAACGCGAACAACAAACGCAACAACCCCTTTCGGTGGTTGTCCTAACCCCCGTCATAGGACCCTAACTCTGTGAAAACCGCATATAAATCAAAGTGCCAGCAATAATAATGAATGAATGAATGAATGCATGATAAATAGAACGAGTGCGTTTGTTAGACCAGGTAGTTAAGTGGTTGCCAGGCACAACCAACCGCAAACACTTTCGCCCATCTGTTTGGTAAATGAAGTCGGCCTCGTCCTACAGTCGGAAGGAAAGGCGAGTGGAGTTGGCCTAGAGCTCCAGCGGGAAGGGCTGGTAGGCTAGTCCACCTGAAAGGGAATTCAAGAAGAGGAAGCTCAGTGGAGTCAGCTCAGTCCTCCAGCAGCAAAGCAAGGCAAGTGCAGTCAGCCTAGTCCTCCATCAGGAATCAAAGCGAACCCTAGCCAACCCGAGTGTAAGTGAAGTCAGCCTTGTCCGCCCACAAGCAAGGAAGGTAAATGGAGCCGGGCTAGTCCACCCAGTCCGTCCAGCGGGAAACGAATTTTAATGAAGTCAGCCTAGTCCTCCAGCAACCGGTAAATCGGAAACCTGTCGAGTTCAATCAAGCGATGAGGACTAGAGCTGTCAACTGATACTGTGCAAAAGGTCGCTCAGGATACGACTCGCTTGACTCCTCTGCTCCCTCTCCCGGCACTTACAGGGTATCTATCAAGGTAGTCAAGCCCACACAGACGACAGCAAAGAACATGTAAAGAATCATCCTGTTGACAGCCAAGCATTTTGCTTGTCAATTGTTGCGCTTTGATTTGATTCGATTTCATTTTTAGACGACTTGTTACACAGGTAAACAAACACTCGAAACAAAGGCCAGACACACACACACACACACACACCTACCTGGCATTTGTTGACCTGTTGCCGTGGGTCACGCGTGTGTGTGTGTGTGTGTGGTAGTTTGAGGCTTGGTAAGTCGTGCCTA